TGCTCTGCCTCTGCGCCGCCGCCGCCGCCTTCTCCACGCGCGGCGATTACCGCCTGGCCGGGCTCTTCCCGATGCACGCCCCGGCGCCGCGGGCCGCTGCCCGGCCGCTCGTGGACAGCTGCGACGAGTGAGTCCCCCTCGCTGCCTGGTTTTCCCCCCAAAATGCGATTTTTCCTCTGAAAACTCCTTTTGCGTTTGCACAGCCCTGCCACCTTCAAGAGCCACGGCTACAGCCTGTCCCAGGCCATGCGTTTCACCGTGGAGGAGATAAACAACTCCAGTGCCATCCTCCCCAACGTCACCCTGGGCTACGACATCCACGACACCTGCTCGGAGCCTGCCAACCTCCACGCCACGCTGCGTGCCCTCATCCAGAAGGGCAGGCAGGAGGTCGAGGTGCTCCCCACCTTCCTTCACTACGAGCCCCAGGTGGTGGCTGTCATCGGGCCGGACAGCACCCAGCTGGCTCTCACCACAGCGGCTGTGCTCGGCCTCTTCCTTATGCCCGAGGTAAGTGGGGCTCTCCCGGCAAGTGAAAGGATCCTAAGGAGGAATGGTTTGAGGGAAGATGGGCTGGTACCAGTGTTGGCCTGGACCTCTTCCCCGGCACGGGCAGCTGGCGGGCAGGAACTGTGGCTGGCTTGCTGTCCTTCAGAGGCTTCTCTCACAGCAGCACATTCAGCTCCAGGTCCACTGAAGTCTCTTCAGGGGACGGGCTGCCTGTGCCATCAGCCCTCAGGGTGCTGCTGCCAGGCAAATGCAACCCCCTTTTCTCCTGGCTCCCTTTGCAGATCAGCTACGAAGCCTCCTCAGAGATGCTGAGCCTAAAGCGGTTCTACCCCTCGTTCCTGCGCACCATTCCCAGCGACAGGCAGCAAGTGAAGGCCATCTTCCTGCTGCTGCAGAGGTTCGGGTGGACCTGGGTCGTGCTGCTGGGCAGTGACAACGCCTATGGCAGGGATGGCTTGGAAGCACTCTACAAGCTGCTGACCAAAAGCAACATCTGTGTTGCCTACCGAGGCATCATCCCTGTCCACAAGGATGCCAGCAGCCCAGAACTCCACAACTTGGTCAGAATCCTCAAGGACATCAGGGTCAATGTCACTGTTGTCTTCTCCAGCAGAAGAAGTGCCCGCTCTTTCTTTGAGGTGGTGATCCAGAAGAACATCACAGGCATGGTGTGGGTGGGCTCTGAAGACTGGTCGTTAGCCCCAGCAATCTGGCAGGTACCTGGCATCCAGAGTATTGGCTCAGTGATCGGGATGTCAATTGAGAAGACAGAGCCCACAATGCTGGAACGATTTCAATCGTGGAAGATAGCACAGAGAAGTGCTGCAGCTGAACATGCTGGCAGCACGGGGGCAGGTGGGGGGACCAGAGGGGACACCCAGCTGGACTGCACCCAGAGCTGCACCTCCTGCCACCTGAGTGCTGCTGTCCCCAACATGTATGATGCTCAAGCCTCCTTCAATGTGTACTCAGCCGTGTATGCTGTGGCCCACGGGCTCCACGACCTGCTGGGCTGTGCCTCAGGGGCCTGCAGCAAAGGCAAAGTCTACCCCTGGCAGGTAAGAGCAACATGAGAAAGGATCTTCCTTATAGAAGATCCAGGAGGATCCTTCCTCACAGGGAACAATTTTCCCCATGTGTTCAGGGGCTTCTGTCCCTCTGGAAGGCTAGTGTCCCAGCCTCATGGGCTTCAGCTGCCTATCACAGTCAAAGCAGCCTGGACCTAGACCCAGACTCCTATCCTGGATCACCTTCTGCTCCTCTGCCACCAGCCTCTCACAGAAACCTGGAGGGACTTCCCACAGCTGGGCACATGGTAGCTTCTGGGGGGGAGGCAGGAAGAGGAGCCAGAGGCATGTAGCACATCTCCCTCCTGAGACAAGGCACTCCTCAGCAGGAGTCTCCTCTCTTCTTTTACTCTTTTGCTTTACAGCTCCTACAAAAAATCAAGGAAGTAAACTTCACCCTGTACAAGAGCCACATCTCTTTTGACACCAACGGGGACATTCAGAAAGGCTACGACATTATCATGTGGAACTGGAGTGGCCTGAGCTGGGCCTTCAATGTGATAGGAACTTTCAGTGTGAACCCTGACAGGTTGAACATCGACGAGAGCAAAATCCTGTGGCACACAAAAGATCAGCAGGTACTGCTCTGCATCCAGATCCAATTACTGCTCACTGCCAAGCCAGGTCCATCCCCAACACCACCAGTTCTGGGGCATTTCCCTATAGCAGGACAAAAATGAGGCAGATAGAGGTGGTATGGGAGGATGATCAGCATTCTGACTATCACCTTTCATTTTTCCAAGCAGGCCACACAAACCAAAAAGACTCCCGAGTCCTACTTTTAGCTTTAAAAGGTCTCATTTTCAAACCACCTCTGTAAGAACTGCAACATGGCAAGCTCATGGCTCCTGCCCTCTCTGTGCTGAAAGCTGGCAGCAAGCTGCCCAAACGGGCCTGATGCTCAGCCTGGTGTCCTGCTGCCCGCCCTGCTCGCCTGCCTGACCCTGCTGTGCTCCCAACAGGCTCCCACCTCGCTGTGCTCTGAGGCCTGTCAACCGGGGGAGAAGCGGCTGCAGCGGGACCGCCACCGAAGCCGCCTCCGC